TATTATTATTATTATTATTATTATTATTATTATTATTATTATTATTATTATTATTATTATTATTATTATTATTATTATTATTATTATTATTATTATTATTATTATTATTATTATTATTATTATTATTATTATTATTATTATTATTATTATTATTATTATTATTATTATTATTATTATTATTATTATTATTATTATTATTATTATTTTTATTATTATTAATTATTATTATTACTATTATTATTATTATTTTATTATTATTATTGCTACCATTATTAGTAGTAATCCTATTATTACTGTGCTTATTGTTATTCTACTGTGGTTATTATTATCTCTATTTGTATTTTATTGTCATTACGGTATCATCAGTCGAATGATACCGTATGCTGCTATTCAATTTGCATCATATGAGCATATAAATCATTACTTCGCGTTTACAATAGATAAAATAAGTGAGTAAAAGAGTAAAATAATTCAAGACAGACAAATTTATCACTTAATTTAATTGGTTAGAAATTACTTTGTACAATCGTTTCCATTTCCTGCCTATTAAAAGTTCATAGCATATTTTTGATATAATAATGTTTTGCAAGGAAATTTAAGGAATAGATTTCTGATAAATGGTAAATTTTTCCTTTGAGCAAATAGAATTAATACTAAAGGTTAGTATTAATTAAAGAAGATATTATGATAACATGGAAATATTAAATATTTTTTAAAGACTAATTTAAATTGCTGAATTAATTTGCTAATTTATTTATGATTGAAAAGAAAGATTATATCAGTGTTCGGGAAGAAGCCATCAAGAAGTACTAAAATAATTTTGAGTAATAATTAGATTTTTAGAAATGTTATTTTGCCATGCTACAAAAATGTTTAAAAAAAAAGAAAGGACAAAAAAAAATTCAGGAAAATAAACTTTATTATGCTAATTGAATTGTAATCAAAATTCCACAAAAAATGTTTGGTAATCGAACTGTAGATTGTGGCTATGAACAGGTTATATTATTATAATTAAATAATTTGTCAAGATCAATAAATTATTAAACGGATAAAATGGCAAGATAAAACGATTATCAATAAAATGTTGTCATCTTAATTAATTAACCAATTAAATATGATCAAGTAAATTTATTTGATGCTAACAGTTTCAAAAAACATATACACCTGCATGATGATTATTAGCCTATTCTTAAGGTGGCATTACTGCAACATTAATTATTTATTCATTGAAATTTGTTTTTTTCTTATAAAATATATACCATCGATAGAATTCGACAATAAAATTATAACCTCTTAATATTTAAATTTTCGATTTTTCTTTTTTTGTTGAAATTCATGAATTTATTTTTTGTTGAAATTTATGAATTTATATTTTATAATATTGTTTATCCCATCCTTATCAGATATGCATCATATACACACACATGCACACACACACACACATACATACATACACACACACACACACACATATACACATACACATACTTACACACATATATACATATACACGTACACATACGTACACACATATATATACACATACGTACATATACAAATAATACACACATATATCCTATATGGCCTATTTCACATATTGTTAAAATCTTAAATTACACATATTATTTTTAATATAAATAAACTAGATAAATTGTTTGATCACTTTTAAAATCTAATTAATTAATTTCTAAATTCTTAATTACAGGAATAATTTACAAGCATTTCATTTTTTTTTCTATTAATAATTAATAATGAACAAATGTAAGCTTAAAAATGTTATGAAATATCAGGAGGTTATTTGCAAAATGGTAAATAATGTTGAAGGTCATTTTATTATGGAATTAATACCATCATTTGTTTGGTACAATAGTTTATGCTGGTGGTAGTTTCGGCAAATTCTTCATTGAGGTATTATTTGTTATTGAAACCATTGATCGAATACAAATGATCCATTTCATTTATGATAAATGAAATACTTTTAGTATAATAATAAGATATCGATTGTAATTTGCATCTTTTGGACTTTTATTCATATTTGTTATAAAAGGGAAAGTTTGCATTATATTTTATCTTATATGCTAAAAATGATAGAAAATTTACCAGAAATAAAAGGTAGATTGATCATTGTCTATTATAAATTTTCCAAATTGTGTCATATTTCAGGCATCAAATTTAATTACGAAAAGTATTGAAGGAAAATTATGTTGATAAATCATCAAAATTCTTTTTTTTTCTATATTCAGTTACTAGAACTTATGTAAATTATTACTCAATTTATTCCACATGTACCATTATTTTTTTTTTTTTGCTAATAACATTTATATGTTGAATTAACTTAGAGTAGAAATTAAAATAATAGTTGTTTAATTGAAATTAATCATTAATAAGCGTAATGTCTGAATTCATAAGCCGATTAGAGAATATTGAAATGAACCAGTGCCACCTTATCATCAACTTATTTATAGTGCTATTTCGGGCGCAGTTGGTTAATTTATTTTATTTCATATCCCATAGATATTGTTCGTCGACGAATGCAAACAGGTCGAGTACCATCAAATCGTTTGGCATTTCATGTACTTCACGATATTTACCACAAAGAAGGAATTTTGAATGGTTTATATACAGGAATTAATATGAAATGAATTAAAGTATGTAAGAAAGACATAAAAACAATCATTAGTGAGTAATAATGATTAGATATTCTTGAATCTATTCCATAACTATTTGCTTGAACTGAAGGGCATCATATTGTATTCATTTGATGTTTAATATTTGAAATAATATTTCAAAATTTTACATAAATTAAGTGCAAAGTTATTAGCAATTAAGTGGCTAATTAAGGATTGTTAAACATTTAATCGAAAATATACTAACAACAATTATAAGAGCAAATAATGAAGAAGGAACATATATACCGGTGGTATAGGAATTTACCTATCTTAATAAACACTAATTAACTACTTTACCACTATAGTGGGTGTTAAAACTTCAATGAATGAAGACATTTGAAAAATGACCCGGAATATCCCGTTGATATTGAATTAATAATGTCAAGAATATGCGCCAATCGGTAATAGCATAATGCTATTCATGGTAAAGCAATTACTTAATGCTTATTAAAGCCAAGTAATATATATGACTATGTCTGCTTATCGTTCACCACCCTTTCCTGGGAAGTGTGGGAAATATCGTATTTCGAGGTACCCATAATATTATTCATCAGTTTTACCGCTTATAATTGCATATTACACATTTCATTAATTTTACAAAAAATTTTTATTCATATAAATTTAGGTTGGTATCGAGAATGCGGTATTATACCATATACACACGATATCGACTTTACGGTCTTCATCGAGGAATACTATAACAAATTTCCTGAAGATGTTATGAATAGTTCGTTTATCAAACTTAGTCTGCGATTCAACAGAGTGAGTTACAGCACAGCGTTGGTATCAGTAAGAAAAGGACAAATAAATGATGAATTAATTGGTTGATAAGGGATTTTTTGGTAATGCGTGTATTAACAAAAAGGGTTTATATATAGTGCGCACTGATCCATTTTACTCCATTCCAGTTTTGGATTTTTTTAGCCGGAAGATCTATTGGAATACAAGGTGTATATAGAAAATAGTATTCCACTGGATATATTCTTTCTATATCATGATCAATATAGTTCCTGGACTGGAGGTCTATCTTCTATGACTAAGTACAGGCAAGTATTTAATAATCCTTGACATTTTCCAAAGTGGAAAATTTTATTCTCGGAAGTATTTTGCGCAATGTGATACTAAAACTCCTGATTTATTTCCTTTATTTCCACCTCAAACCTAAGTAATTAGACCGTTAGCTAAAAGAAGCAATATTAGTGCATCACAATGCTATATAATTTATGATGAACTATTCCAGTGCCGCTTGTCACATTTCCTCAGTTCAGTTTCATTTTTATTTTTCTTCAGTGATCACAGTTTTCAATGGCTTCAACTATTGTTTTGATGCTTTTTTTTAAGTCGTGCAAACTATTCATAAATAGAATTAAAAGAAAGTATCAACAGTGAAAGACAACAATACAAAGGCGAATGAACAATAATAAACTGAGACATTTTCGTTTAGAATTCATTTATATCCTGAAAAACATGACGAGAGAGAGACCTTTGCGCAACTTTCATCTTTCTTACCTTACCGGTTGAGGATTTGAGCTGTTTTTACCGATTAATATCTTTCGTACACTGCAAAGTATTTGGGGAAAATGAAAAAATTTGCTGATTTTGTGGTGCAAATACTGTAATTCAGAACGAAATGATCGTTTGTTTTGTTGGACTAATGGCTGTTTAATAAGAGCGAGAATTAATTGCATAATCATGGGTGCAATCAGTTAATTACCTGTCGTATTTTATGAAAGACTCCGCTCTCTGTTCCGGAGGAACGATTCCAACCACTTTTTTGTTTAATGGGGTTTTATTCCACACGTATTTGGAGGAATGAAGTGGTACCGACCACCTTTTCCCGTGGTCACTCTGAAAATTGGAAGAAAATTTTTTAATATTTGAGATGTTTTTCCTGCTCGTTTTGGTAGCCATACATTTGATTTTTTCTTTTTCACTAGCTAACGGTGAAATGAGTTTTTTGGAATATTACAAGTAAACTCGAATTGTAAAATTTACCATAATAACATCCAGAGCATTGCATGGTACGTACATCAAGTAGCCGAGGAGATCAGTTGCGCAAATTCGATTTATTAGCGGATAAATAAACCTCAAAACTTATCAAACCTTAATATGCGTAATATTTCATGCGATAGATTATCGAACCATTCGGGAGAGAATTGAAATAAGGGTCATTAAATACTTACCTGTACTTAGTCATATAAGATAGACCTCCAATCCAGGAACTGTTTTGATCATGATATAGGAAGAAAATGTCCATTGGAATACTATTTTCTATATACACTTTGTATTCCAATAGATCTTCCGGCTAAAAAATCCGAAACTGGAATGGAGTAAAATGGATCAGTGCGCACTATATATAAACCCTTTTTGTTAATACACGCATTACCAGAAAATCCCTTATCAACCAATTAATTCATCATTTATTTGTCCTTTTCTTACTGATACCAACGCTGTGCTGTAACTCACTCTGTTGAATCGCAGACTAAGTTTGATAAACGAACTATTCATAACATCTTCAGGAAATTTGTTATAGTATTCCTCGATGAAGAACATAAAGTCGATATCGTGTGTATATGGTATAATACCGCATTCTCGATACCAACCTAAATTTATATGAATAAAAATTTTTTGTGAAAATGATGGAATAATGTTGTAGTGAAAGAGATTGTTCATATAATTTTTCGAAAATGTTTCCTTGCGAGTAGTTTCCTTCAACTACGATAGGCTTTAAAAAGCCGAATCTCCTATGGATAAACTAAAATCCAAGGCAACACTCAAAAAACCTTGTGGACGGAAAAAGTTATTGAAAGGAAGGGCGATATTAAGACTACATGAGGAAAAATTCTCTGCACACAATTTTCACTTAAATAGTAGGGATCATGAACACAAAAAACATTT